TTCCTCCTGTTCTGCCTCTGTGGTACTAAAACCTAATCTAACTGGTGATGCTTTGGGTAAAGAGATAAATCTCACCATCTTTTAGATAGCAGGAAGAAACAACAACTGACTGCTGTTACAAGCAGTTTAGAATATTGGGAGAGAGCTGTTAAACTGTCTCCAAGAGTGACAGGAGTCACATGATAGATAGAATGAGAAAGAGAGAAGGAAGTCCCTGTCTATATAAGGAGGGAAAAGAGAATGCAAGCATAAATTTTCCAACACTACCTTTCAGCAGAGAGGTGTGTTTTAGGGCTTCTGACATCAATGAAATTGGATGCTTCCTAGCTGGCATAGCTTGGTATAGTTAACTGCCCCTTATCAGCCATGATTGCATTAAGGTTCAAATTTTGTATTTATCATTCCCCTTGCTGCATTCCATTCTTTGTTTCTCTGTCAAGTTGACAATACCAGGGTTACTTGCTATATGGAAAAAAAATGATAGCAAAGGGCAGGCAGAGAAAAGCATACATTTTCTATTCTGTTCTGTTGGCATGGTTTCCAAACTCGTTCCTTTTACTGGTTTCTCATACTGGCTTACTATTTTCTCCCAGGATACCATATCAATTGATTACTTGTCCCATGATTACTACAGTTAAAATCATATCAGTTAAGCAAACAGTTGATTTAAAATTATGATGAGAAGTTACACAATGAAATTAAGTAAAACAACAGATATTTAATAATTGGTTCTGATCAGGAAAAACAACTACAAGAAATAGGAGAATGGAAAGAATAATTAAATGTAAGAATAGGTATTAGAATTATTTTTACAAAGATGCGATCTAAACATTAGGAGGAACTTCCTGATGGTAAGAGCTGTTTGACATTGGACACAGTTCTTTGAAGAGTGGTAGAGTCTCTTTCTTTGGAGATTTTAAAAAGATGCTGGATGGCCATCTGTAAGGAGTGCTTTGATTGTGAGTTCCTGCATGGCAGAATGGAGTTGGACTGGATAGCCCTTGTGGTTGGTGTCTTCCAACTCTATGATTCTATGGAATCATGTATATGAACAGGATTAACCACAGATTCCATTTTAAGTAAATAAAAATATTTTTAAAACACTACAAGTTCATACAGTCTGCCCGCACTATACGTGGGTTTGTCATATGCTGCTTTGAGCATATGCATACAGCAAGCCCAAGGAGACAAAATGGTGTGCGCACCCACACCGTGCATGGGAGTGCGCATCCATTATTTTCAATGGGGCTTAAGCATACACATTTTTCCCTTACTCAGGGGTTTCTGGAACAGATCCCCCACATATGGGAAGGGCCCACTGTATTAATGACAGAATACAAGGTTTCTCTGCTAGACTCTAATAAATATTGCATGTGATAATATTGCATCTGACATTTGGTAGGCCAGCCACCTCCTCACAGTTCAGTACCTGCTGAGTAGAAAAGATAGATGACAGTTCATGAAGATTTATGCTCATCATCATTCATGTTGGATTGAAATCGGAAACAGCTTGGTACTTTCACTAACTTACTGGCATGCCAGTGCCATATTTTCCAGTATAATGCTGCCCAGATTTTTAGATCTCTAGAGGAAGTCCTTGTCTCAGTCCAACCAAAGTGACATATAGGGAGTTGAGAGAGGGATGTCTCAACATTTGTTTACATTCCCTGGAACTATAGGTTTTTGTGGGTTTTTCGGGCTGTGAGGCTGTGTTCTAGAAGAATGTATTCCTGCTGTATGTATTCAGAAGAAGATGTCAGCCACAGATGCAGGTGAAATGTCAGTAATACATTCTTCTAGAACACGGCCTCACAGCCTGAGAAATCCACAAAAACCTATGGATGCCAGCTGTGAAAGCCTTTGACTGCACATTCCCTGGAACTCTTGGACAAGAGAAACTAGGTTGTGTACCAGTAGGGGTGTGTGTGGCTCATTCCACACACAGTTGGTGAATGACATGACCCATCTTGGGTGAGACCACAGATGATTGGCACTGAGTTTTCTCCCTCATTGTTGTCCTTCTGTCAACAAGCAAAGTCATCTTTATTAATGTGGCATTTAATTTGTTTTAATGAAGTTTCATTGGGTCTATTTATATTATTGGTATTAGTTTTAGTATTTTAGCACTTTACAACTAAAAGAACAACAAAACAGGTCCCCGTCCTAAGAATTACAATCTATATTTTCTCTTGTTTTGATTTTGTGTTTTTAACTCATTTGTTTTGATGTTTTTAACTTTGTTTTGTTTACAATGAATTTTGTTGTTGTTATCAGCTATGTTGAGTGTAGTGTTTAAATGAAACAAATGAACAAAAATAGTCTCCATTGAAATAAAAGATTATGAGATTGAGATGGATCCTCTCTCTGGGTTGGCCCTGCAGTTCTAGCCCTTCGGTTCTCATCACTGCTCTTTTATCTTTAAAGTCTCTCACCGGATTTGGTACATGGGTCCCAGTGACTACTACAGCTGGACAACTGGATGTGTTTAATTGTTGGATTCAGTTTAGTAAAGTAAGATAGAGATGTAGGCCTGAATCTTGTTGCTAAATCCCGAGTAGAGTAGGTCCAATGAACCAGTTGTTGAATAGGGAGTCTGGTCCCCATTTCTACCTTCAAGACCTTTATATCTTTTGGTAAGACTTTACTCTTCTGATGAAGCATGCTTGTTTTCAAGATAGGACCTGAACCAATTGGTTCAAAGCACAAGAATATATATTTTGACTAGACATTATGAATAAATTCTTGATGGCTGTTTGAGGATGGAGTAGACTACTTTGGAAGGTACGTGCATGATGGGGAAATCTCTCCTTCATTGGGTATTTTAAACATCTATCTATCAGGCATACTTTCTCTGTGAATTTCCAGCATTGTCAGGGGACAGATTAAATGACCAGTGCTACTCTGCAGTCCATAATTGCATGTTTACAATTAAAGAATTTAGAGCACTTTGAGATAGGTAGGGTTAGAAGAACTCAAGCTGTTAAGCAGTCTTCTGTAGACCATTTAATTAATTCCAAACCAATGAAAGTCCCTGTAGTGCTGCATCCAGAGAGCAACAAGCAACTCTATGACTCTGTAAAAGGTTTTTTAAGGAATTCATACTAATAGTGCCATTTTATGTTTTCTCAGAACTAAACCCAATTGTGGTTTCAGATAAGTCGCTTTAAAATTGCAATTTTGGTGTTTGTTGTTACTTGCTGTCAAGCCACCCTTGACTTTTGGTGATCCTATGAAAGAGAGACCTCCATGAGCCCTGGTCATCAACTACACTTCTCAGGTTTTGCAGACTCAGGGCTGTGGCTTCTCTTATTGAATCAATCCATCTGTAATATGGTCTTAACTGCCTTCCACTTTTCTTGGCACTGTTGTCTTTTCCATTGATAGGTCTAAAATAGAATCACATCAGTTCAGTCATTTTGGCTTCTAGGGAGAATCCAGGCTTGATTTGTTCTCAAACCCCCCCCCTTTTTTTTGTCCTTTTGGCAGTCCACAATAGCTGTAGATCTCTTCACTAGTCTTGCATTTGAAATGAGTTGATTCAGTTCCCATCATTTTGATTCACTGTCCAGTTTCTACAACCATACATAGAAACTGGGAATGTGGTGGTATAGGAGATTCTGACTTTGGTCTTCAATGATATATCTTTAAATTTGAAAATCTTATCTAGCTCCTTAATAGCTGTCTTTTGAAGTCTTAACCTTCTTCAGATTAGTTTAATTATTGGCTATGTCTGCATGCATTTATGTGGTTGTGAAGCTTTTATTTGAAATATGAAAGACTGTTGAACTAGGAATGGTTGAAATGCTCACTCTTAAGGGTGTCCTTCAGCCATTCATTGCCTCTCAGACCAGTGTACTACAGGATTGTCATGAGATAAAATGGGAAAGTGGGGTGTCATGCATGCTGCCCTGAACTATTTTAAGGAAGGTGGTGGTACAGAGACACATGCCATGAAATATGTATAAACTTTATATATATTTATGAACTTTATATAATGTGCACCTACTGGTTTAAGGGGATGTAACAACCTGGCCTTTAAGGTAAGGTAACATAGGGGCTAAGTAGACGGGCGGCATGGGGCCGCCCCAGGAAGCTGCGGATCGGGGCCGAGGCATCTGCACTCCTCGGCCCTGCGGTGCAGCTTTGCTGCCCCAGGAAGGAGCGCTAAAATAGCACTCTTTCCACAAATCACTGAAGGTGCACCGCAAAAGGCTGCCAGTGCACCTTCGGTGCCTCTTCCACTGCAGCATGTGCAGACGCTGCAGCAGAAAGGCATCCTTGGAGCCCCGGCCGTGTGGAGGGCCGGCTGCTCCGATGACGTCTTCGGGAAGGGGTTGGGGTGCCCAGTGCGTGGCTGCCCCTCTCCTTCCTTGCCTTGAAGACGGCGCTTTGCGCCGTCTGCTTAGCCCCATAGAGACAAAAGAGGTAAGTAAAAGAAAGGGGGACAGGGAATTACAACCTTTCATAAATGCTTGCTTTTTCTTCAATGAATATAAATGACTGAGGTGAATAATGGAACACTAGCAGTAAGCAACATGTACAGTATACACAGGTGTTAGTGAATCAGCATTTACTCTTAAGGTGACTTGCCAACCTTAAGTTGTTTACTTCCCAGCATAGAAATACAGAGAATATGTGCCCTCAAAAGGTAATGTCTATGACACTGGTGCCCTCTTAATAATAACTAGATAATCTAATATATGCTCAGATTACTGTCCAGTGCAACTTCATATAATGGGGTCAGTATATCAAATGCAATAAAGTGATTATGTTGTAACCTAAAGTCTAGAGGTGGCATTTGCTCACTTTCTTGTTTACCTACACAGACTTCTAATGACAATAATACAATGTCTAACAAAAGGGTGTTTAGCTGCTGCTAAGGACCTTATTGCATTGGGTAAAAAAGCCAGTTTACCTTTCCCGAATTGAATTCTAATTTGGGCTGCATACTATCATATATAAATCGCTGTCAAATCCACCAGCTAAATACATCCCGGATGCAGCCCGGGTCCCTGGAGTGCTTCAGTGGCCATTTTTGAAAGTTGGAAAACTCCCAACTTCGATAAAGGGCCAGCTGAGCATGCCTGGGATCCAGGCTACATCTAGGATGTATTCAGCCAGCGGATTTGGCAGCGATTTACATATTATAGTACCCGGATGCAGCCCAAATTAGAATTCCGTTCGGGAAAGGTAAGCCAGCTTTTTTTACCCCATGCAATAAGGTCCTAAGTTTGTTTGGGTCCATTTAGACACCACATCTCCACTCAGAATTCCCCTGACTTATTTAATGTTACAACACATGTTTGTGAGTAGCATGCACTATTTGTTTTCACAGATGGAGGAGCCCTAATAATCATCTCTGTTTTTCCAGACTGCATGCAAAAAGAACAAACATAAAAATCAATAGCTCAAGGAATTTGTTAAGAAATTATTTGTGATCCTTGGGCAAAATTTAGCCCCTCGTCCCCCTTTTTAAAACATTCAAGTCAATTGAGGTTAAGGGGACTGTTATGTAACAAACACAATGGACGTTCCAAGAGAAAATTGCCTCAGACTGAATCCTTCTAAAATGTAAAGCATGCTTCTTTATTCTGAAAAGCCTTAAGGCTTCTCAAATGGCAATGATGAGTTTTTATAGAAATCATTGTAAGCAGATTTATTTTCTTTTTTTAGGCATTTCAGTTTATACAGGTAGCAAGAAAGACGGAAATTTAAGAGAGTGAATACTCTGTGACTTTTTCTCCCCTCCTAGTTTCTCCAGAGGGAGAAAAGAATGTAATTATACTTCCCTTCTTTCTTAGTTAAACTCACTAGTAGCTGCAAAAAACTTATGGCATCTCAGTTTGTAGGATAGAAGGATCACTTCAGAGGAACTCATGTAAACCCAATATATGCCTTATTCTAAGAATTATGAGAGACATCACTGAAGTCTTATGAATTCTCATGAATCTTTCAAATTTGTTCTTGGAAATTATTATGTATAGCTAATGTGGCTGTTAATGCTACTTTGTAAACTTAAGTTGATCTATTTTTGGAGCTATTGCTTTCTGTAAAATACTCCCTTCATGAATAGCAAAAAGGATTGTTACAAGCAATGAGTTCACTGTATCGCATTCAGGTAGCATTAACTCATAGGAATATAAATGATGTTTTAAACTTTTTGCCCTGTGTAAAATGTTTACCCTCTTCAAAACCAAAATTGCTCAAAGCAGCTGACAAATATAGATACAACAACTAGAGCATATCAAAAAGCTAAACACACAGCAAACATGCCAGCAAAATCTTGAAATAAAGCAATGGCAGTTTCAAATGCTTGTTTAAAGAGAATCATCTTCATTTTATCAAGGAACACAGATAAAAAGCAAAGTAACTTCTTAGGGGATAAGTTATTTTGCATGGGGGTGAGAGAGAGTTCTTCAAGTAGCCATTTCCTAACCAGTTTCCTGTTTTAATGGTCTTTATTGGAACTTGAACTCAGAAATAAACTGACAGCTTGTGCAGTTGATACAATAATATGAAGGCCAATTTAAAGCATTTTGCTACTGGAGATTGAACAGCAAATAGTGTCCCTTCATCTGTCAAGTTACATAGTATCCAAGGCGGGGCAAGTTTTTTTTTTGACACCTAACAGAGGCATCTTGATGTCATACAGGAGATCTATAATCAGATTCTTATATGTTGCTTCTGGTTTTGTTACCTCTAAGCACTTCCGCTGGCCTGTTGGTTTGATTCAGAAAGCAATATTGTAGGAGATAGGTGCAATTTCTTCTCACACTATATTTCTCTAATTTAAATTCTCCTTTTCCCAAGAAGGTGCTAGTTGCTGTGTGTATGTGTGGGAAATCGGGTACCATACAAATACTTGAAAGATGCTATAGACCAAATAACTTCAGGCACAGGACAGAAGAGGAGGATTTAGACTGGAAGTATGAGCTGCTTCCTCCCATGGTGTCACATTCTGGATTAAATAAATAGGCCAAAAAGGCTGCATTGACCTACTAATTTTTTAAAAATATCATTTGCAAGAGAGCCTGAGCACACATCTTTCAGTTTATGTATGCCTATGCCTATGAAACAGTTGACCATAATAAATAACAGGAGCTTTTGGGATATAATGGAGTGATATGTATATAATACTTATTTGTTATTATATTTATAATTACTAAAATAAAACATCTGCATAATATCATCTGCATTTGTCATTAAATATTCTTAATAAACTAGGGCTATAGTCTTACATGGGATAGCCAATGTGGTGTAGGGGTTTGAATGTTGGACTATGACTATGGAGACCAGGGTCCGAATCCCTGCTTGGCCATGGAAACCTACTAGGTGACTTTGGGCAAGTTACACTCTCAGCCTCAGAGGAAGGCAAGAACAAACCACCTTTGAACAAATTCTCCAAGAAAATTGTAAGTCACCATAAATCAGAAATGACTTGAAGGCACATAACAACAATGACAACAGTCCCAACTTTCCTGGGCATGTAATAGGGACAGCCTGTGGTTTGAGCGGAGGGGGTGGCAATCTCACCCCAAAGTGGTGAATTGAGGCATTCCCTCTGTTTAAAACATGTGTAATGGTACATATATAGGATTACATTGTAGGTCTAAAATACTATACTTATATTGGAGCAACCCCCATTTGTTGCTGTTGTACACCTTCAAGTCATTTCTGATTTATGGTGACCCTAATGTAATCCTATTATAGAGTCTTCTTGGCAAATTTCTTCATGTATATTATCAAAAAAGTGACCTGTTCTTTTTACTGAATTTTGGTGTGGTGTTTTGAGCATTGGACTATGACTCTGGAGACCAGGATTTGATTCTTCACTTGACTATGGAAATCCACTGTCACACACTCTCACCCCAGAAAACTCCATTTAGGTTCGCCTTGTGGTTGCCATAAGTCAGAAATGACTTGAAGGTACATAACAACGACAAATAAAACTGCGGACATAGAGGAGGGGATCTTATCTAGATTGGGATCACAGCTGACATGGCTCTCTTGTCATGTTAGATTCCCTAGTCTGGCTTGGGGCTCCTGCTGTTAACTTTGAGGGGAAAAGGCTAGCTGTTCATAACATCTTTAAAGTAATGTATTGTGTTACCCCAATCAGTTTGCTGGAACTCTGCTGTAAAAGCTACAGAATTCTGTATCAGTTTACTGACAAACTTCATCAAGTCGAATTTGCTAATGAATTCTAATTTAGTGTATCTGTGTTGGAGTCTTCCCTTGAAGCTTTTTGGTTGTTGCAGAGTGGTGACTTTAGCTGTTACAGAATGTCCTGGGAGACAGAAATTCTCGCCCACTGCTTTCTGAGTTACCCTTTTTATGTCTGCCCATCAAAACAGTAACACTCAGAATCTAGTGGGTGAGCATTCAGTCCCCCAGGACATTCTGTAACAGACTTTAAAGTCAGTATACTCCACTAAAAAAGTTTCAAAGGGAGATCTCAGTGTGAAGCTATCAGATTGAAATTAATCAGCAAAAACCAGATATCCAAAATTCCAACATCCAGGAAGTAGGGAGCAGGTTAGATAATCTATCCTGATTGGATCACATATACATTTGAGAGGTTCCCTCCCCTCAATCTGGCCCACTGAAAGGCTGTCTTGCAGATGGACTAGTCATCTGATAAGCAGTAAGTGACTAAAAGTTGAAGATCCTTTTGGGTAGTGGCAGCCTAGTAACATAGGCTGTGTGATGTAGTGGTTAGAGCACAGAAAGGAATTGTTGGCCCTCCACATGTTTTGAACTATAGCTCCAATAGTCCCTTACCATTACCCATGATGGATTAGGCCAAAATTTTCCCTGCTCTGCATAAGAGTGCCAAACTAGGGGTAGGGGGATTCATATCCAGATATCATCTCAGCCATGAAGCTCACTGAGTGACATGGCCAGTCACTCTGTCTGACTAACCTATCAAGGAGGATAGTTTATATATAATTAATGAATTAATAAATGGAACTTGCAGTTTGGCAAACTTTTTTGTTTAAGTTCAAGTGTTCTTATCTTTTATTGCTTGCCTGTTTCTTCCTTTTTGTTATATATGTGACATTTCATTGTGTATTTTTAAAGGGTGTGTGCATCATTTTATTATAAGCTATAGAGATTGGTTGTGGAACAGTATGCAAAGTGTATAAATACAGAATTAATTCAGCACTGGGTGATATCATTTCTTGTATTTTTTTTAAAAAAAATACTTTGGCTTGTTATCACTCTCTTAAATCAAGGTATATATCAAAGTCACTTGTGACAACTTTAGCAGCTGACAGAGTGGTTTTGGCCCACAAATAATTTATTTAATTAAATAAACTCTAATTTTCCAGCATTGTTCATACTGGATAGTGCAAAAAGCAATAGAAGCCAAAATGCATTATGTCAGATATCTGCCACTCTAAACATAAATTTAAGTTGAGATTCTTGAAGTTGGCACATACATCACATACCTTATTGTTTTTGCTCCCTTAAGAAATAGATGTAATGCAGACCACCTCATGATGTAAATTGGGGACACTGGGGTATTTTTACAATTTTGCAATTCATGGTTTTCTTGGAAAATGCCATCTATAGTGGTAGAATTCAAAGATATAGCTGTGTTAGTCTGTTGAATCAGTATGTAGAGAGATCCTGTAGCACCTTTGAGACTGAAAGAAAGAAATTGGCAGGATGAGCTTTCATAGATTTCAGTCTATTTCCTCAGATGCATCTATAGTGGTTACACCGCAATCCTGATGAGCAAAAGTCAACAAAAACCCTTTAGATTTTGTAACTTCTTTACAATTTATTGAAATATTGAAATGCTTGAAAGTTTTGGAAGCCATTGCTTATGCCATCATAGTGCAGTGGCATATCTTGTGGAAATTCCAGAAGTCCTAGATTTAAATTAATTTTTTAAGCTTTAGTTTCATATCTGTACAGTAAGAATGTCACTATCCTATCCCAAGGGTTTGCTGTGGAGTTAATTTACGCAGAAAATGGATATATTTCTGAGACTTGAAATTGATCTAAGAGAAGTGGTTTCCCTTGATGGATATACACATTTCTTTAGCCCCATGGCTGCTTATGGTCCAACAACTTTTGCAGAATTTGGAAGCAATAAAACTGTTTTAAAACTTGTTTAGATTATGTGAAAAGGAAGAGTGCAGACAGGACCAAGTCTAAAATTAGTGTCCTGTCTCCAAAAGGATATTTGCTCATGAGTGCAAGGAGGAAACATTAATATACTGGGTTTTTTTACAGTTATGAACTAAGTATGCAGAGGTCTGCTTAGATATTTCTTGTGATCTATCCCTGGATCCTCTTTGATGGTTTGAGGCCACAGGATTAAACAGATGATAAGCAGTGTCATCTTTGCAAGTTAAAGGGAAGTTTTGGGATTGAATCCTCAATCCACTCCCATCTTTCCTGAGGCATTCATAAGTGAGTCCCATTACTAGCATACTCCCTTTCATTTCCTTTCATGGTTTTAATGTATCTTTTTTTAAAAAAAAATACATTAACTTTCCTAACAGTCTGTGTTAGGAAAGAAGAGAAGCTGTTTTTCTTTTGTTGGCATCACTATTAGGACAGCCGGAGTATCAATAAGCCTTATTATCTTTTGCCTGTCTCAGGTCATTCCCCCCTCCCTCCCTTGCTCCCTGTATTGTTCATGGTTGTACAACACATTTGCTTTATGGGGATTTGCATTTGATTTTAAAAGTAAACAATAAACCAAAAGATGTTGCAACAATAGCTTGTTTCCTAGCAACACCATAGATGTGTCTGCATTGTGTTAATATAAGTGAACAGTTTCTCCCTGCATGTACTGTTTGCCCAAACTTTAATTGCATTTTAAATAGGATCATCGCGGCTGGTCTCCTCAACTGACTTTCTGTAATTAGCAGCTAAAATATTGTTGCAGCAAGCTAGTCAGTTGCCATCTTGCTTGAAATGTTGTTGTGTACCTTATAATGAGCACAGTAGGAGGAAAGCTTGAGTAGAAGAATATGAGTTTGTTATTTGGAAACAAATACCCCATTTTAAGATCCATGAATGTCATAAGTTAAAATCTCTGGTAAAGCAGAGTAATGAATTTCCCACCAGACACACAACAAAGGGGGGGGGGGGGGGGAGAGACACTAATACTTCTGTAGTTTATAACACAGCATTAAGAGCTCATTATAAAATTATGTAAAGGTCAGAAAGACACCATTTCATGGAACTTATTGCTCTGACTACAAGGTCACTTTTATGGGCTAGGCTTTATCTTCTTGAACACCTAGCAAACTAGTTCTTGTCCAGCTATTGATATATACAACTAATATGTAAGAACCATATTCATGTACAGTCGGCCCTCTGTATCCCAGATTCTTTGTCTATGGATTCAGGCATCTTTAAAATATTGAAAAAATGTATAAATTCCAAAAAGCAAACCTTGATTTTGCCATTTTATATAAGGGACTCCCTTTTATTATGCCATTGTGTTTAATGGAACATGAGCATCCATGAACTGTGGTATTCACAGGGGGCCCTTCTTCTTAACACATTCCTGGGTGCTTTAAATCTTAAACAACATGAAAATAAAACCAAAATCAAAAGAAATCAAATTTGAAGAAGCAAGCAAAATCTGTTATAGCTTAACAGTTGACAGTGGAACACAGTCCCTCGGAGTGAAGTGGAGTCTCCTTCTTTGGAGGTTTTTAAACAGAGGCTGGATGGTCATCTCTTGGAGATGCTTTGATTGCGTATTCCTGCATGACAGGGGGGTTGAACTGGATGGCCCTTGGGGTCTCTTCCAAGTCTATGATTCTATTATTTAATACACATTCAGAAGTTATTTTTTAAAAAAGACATAGAGGCCTGGAAGAACAAGAAGGTATTTGCCTAGTGTCTGGAAGATAATAAAATATGCACCAGCTGAACTTTCCTTGAAAGATTGCTTTGCAGAGAAGGCAAAATGGCTGAAATGTGTCTCTCAGTTGCTCCTTTCTTTACTTCTAATGGTAAGGGCACCCTGATGAAAGCATCCACAAATGATCAAAGTAAAATGGCAGATCAATACATTAGGTGGCTTCAGGCTCCTGATCCCAAATTATTAAGGGCTTTGTGGGTCAAGACCAGTACTCTAAGCTGGATTCAGAGATAGACTGGCAAGCTATGGCACTGTCAACACCGGTCAGCATCACTCTTCCCAGTGAGTGGTTCCAATTCTGTTATAGTGCAGGTGAACATTGTGATATGGATTTGTGTCCAAATGTACCTTTCTGTTTTGACTGGCAGTGTGTGTGGAATTATGCTTACATATATACATCTCTGTGGCTGTGATGCAAAGCC